AATGACAAAGCAAATCCCTCGTATGAGTAATGAAAGTGGGCAGCCTGAATCTTAACATTTTTTTTTTTGTTTCCGAGAAAACTGAGTTTTCTTACTTCCACAAAAATTTAACAAGATATTTACGAAAAACTTTTCGATGAAAGAACTAAAAAATTTCCGACAACCGAGAAATCCCATCAACATCTGTACCGGAGGGCGCAAAATCGCAGCAACAGCATCAATTCATGTATTACTGGGCACAGGGCCTGTTGCTGTCAAGGTCAGAAGTCGAACTCCCTCGGCCAGTCTCTGTAAAAGAGCACTCAAAAAAGCCCGATTCGAGTGATAGCAGGTACCAAAATCAGTCAGCCTTTGTTTGCCTCCTCTTTCGCAGTTTGCCCAGAAGCAAGCTGACGGGGGCAAAAGGAAGAAAAGAACGAACGTGGTAGCTCGGGTTTCATCAGATGGAACGGACACACCAACGAGAGCTGCGAATAGCCACCCTTCAGCGATATCTTCGTGCGCAGTGAACCGGACGACGCTACACCGCTCCCAGCCGTATCCATTGCTTCAGAGCTCGAGAACGGATCGAGCTAAAGAACAAAAAATTCATTAAACGACTCCGATTAGCACAAGAATGACACAGGACAAGGCGTGAAGGAACTGAGAACAGGACAGACGGATGAGACGCAGTCCCTTCAGAGACAAAACGAACGTTAGGATCGCCAGCAGGCTGAAGTAGCACTGAACAAAGCAACTGGGAGAGGGCTGTACGACTGGGGTAACAGGCCGTCCGGGTATTCCAGTAACAAAGCCACAAGAATTACTACGCCGTCACTGTGATCATGTGATTCACGCGACTGCTGCTCCGAATACTCGCACATATTTGAGGACCGCCGCCACCACCCACGGAGACCACTCGAGAGAAGCTCAAATCCCGCGCATCCCACCGCTAACACCCGGGAAAGCAGCGGTCCATGGTCTCTCTCAGCACCCTCTACTCCCCTTGATTCGCGTACTGTTTCTTGCACCGATTTTGCTTAGTTCAACAAATTCACATCGAACCGGTCGCGCGCTATTTCGACGTCTCGAATAACCTTTTGGGATTGATCGTATGAGGGATTAGATGTTGGGGGCTTTTGGTGGATGGGGGTCTCTTTTTCACGTGCTAGCCGAGGTTGATTCGCAGGAACGGAGGAGGACTTATCTGGGTGAGGGAGGGGGGCGATTTGAGGGGTTTCCTTCATGCAGCAGTTGGGGTTGGATCACGCGAACAGAAAAGGGCCGCTTAACCGGGAAGGGGAAGGGGCGGGAGGGGCAGGGGGGAGGAAACCCCAGAAATATGTGAGTGGTACTTTTCTTACAATTGAACTGGATGGCTTAAAAAGTTTTGCAAAAAAGCAGATGCAGTGAACTAAAAGTATCGCGTAGCAAAGGAAAGTGGATGGAAATTTGAGCTTTCGTTTGAGTGAAGCTAACCGTTGCGTTGTTTCTTTTTTCTTTTTGTTTCCAGAGGTGTGTGTGTGTGTGTGTGGATTTGGCGAAAATGGTGCAGGCAAGGGATGGCAACATGCCGTGGGTGGAGAAGTATCGGCCGGCCACGCTTCACGAACTCGTCTCGCACCAGCAAATCACCGCCACACGTTGGTTGCACTTCTTTTTTTATGTTTCGTTTGTGAGCATTTCACGTCACCTCCTCTGAGCGATA